AAAACACAACGCCTGGGGAAGTGGCCATCCGATGGTGCCCGGGCCACGCAGGTATTCTGGGAAACGAAGCAGCTGACGCGCGTGCCAAAGCCTCTAGTGCGGCACCTGCTCTACACTCGGTATTCTCTATTGAGAGGGCAAGAAGGGAAGTCAAAGCCCAATACGAAGCTTCTGTTGCACTTTATTGGGCAGAAAATTCTCCATCTAGATACAAGGAATTAGGAATTGGTCCTAATACTAAGATTACTGCCGAGCTCGCCTATCTAGGGTGACGCACACTAGGATATCTATTAGCTGCACGATCTGGACATGACGATTTCGCAGACTACCACCGACGGTTTCAGTACGAAATCGCCATTCTAAACTGCTCATGCGGAGAAGAAAAGTCCCCCAACCACTTTTTCTATTGCCACCTTGAGCAGTACCAGGCACAGCTCTACAGAGCACAGAATTCTATTCTCAGCATATCTTGGGCTCTCGCTTCCGCGGAGGGAGTTCACGCATTTAATAGCTGGGTACGTGTCACAAATTTCTTTGAAAAATCACAACAAGTCTGACCGAAAGGGAATCATGTAATTCAACTAAGTTCCCCCCTTACATATTGTTTATTTAATCTATCCTTCATTCAATACAATTTGAAGACATGAGAGTTGAAGGGTGACCGGTAACAATGTATAATTTAATCTTCAAGCGCAGGATGATGAGATCCTGGCTTTCATTTGATTTGTTGGGTTTTTTCAGGCGCCAACACGTTGGGTACTTTTATTTTGACTGAGCTAACCGGCACATGAGGAGCTCACGTGCTATGCGCGGGCATGACGTTATTGATTGATTGATTTTATTTTTAGGTCCTAAGCTAGGCATGACGTTATTTTTTTTTTTTTATTATATTAAAGTCCTAAGCTAAAGCTCTAGGTCCACTATAGGTACAAGACTGGTGGAGCCGGCGAGGACCACTGCTAACAGGCCCAACTCATTCCAACCGCGAGACCTGCTACAGAAAAAGTAGGAGGTAAATTATAATTCAGAAGACTCCACCTACTCCGACTCCGAAATCGAGACTCCATCTTTCAACCCTAAATTCAAGTACATAAAAGATTTCCTCAGAGAAACGACACTTCTCGCATCGATCCCTTTCGTGTCATGCGTTGTGGCAATGACTAGTTTATCTGATCCCCACTGAGAGCAGTGGATAAGTGAGCAGGTCGTCTATCAAAACAGCCGGTTTCCTGCGCAATATTTTTGAAGCTATCGTGGCACTTGGGCCCGAGAAGCTTTTTAATAAAGTCAGCGTGGGGCATTGACTTTCTGAGCCTACGCGTTTGTTGTGCGTGACGGCTACAGTGGATGAACTGGGTTGGAGTAGTTTCCTTCCCGCAAGAGCACTCCATAGGAGCGTGTGGATTATTAAAACGGCGATGGTATGCCGCAAAATTGCCGTGACCTGTTCGTGCTGCGATTAGTGCCCGAAGGAGGTGCCTAGAGAGAGACAGTTCAGGTGGTTTGCGTCTCCGCACCTGTAGGTCGAGTTGGCGGTATTGAGGCGGACAGGCCTCTTCCCACCAGTCGTCTAGCAGCCTCTGTCGTCTGCGATTCATGAGAACACGTAGATATGCCAGAGTACATGATCCTGGTGGTGTCTCCTGGCTAGGTAACTCTCGAAGTGCGGCACGGGCAATGGTGTCTGCCTCCTCGTTCCCTTGAATCCCTGCGTGCCCTGGCACCCATTTTACCAATACTTTTGCCACGTTACTTAATGCACGGAATCTGCGTACATCTTCTAGGCTAGTTGAGGACGAGCCTGTCGTTAGTGCGCTTACAGCCTGCTAGCTGTCTAGAAACACGTAGATTTGCTGCGTCACTCCTACTTTCCTGCACTGCTCTTCCTCCGTAAATTCCAGTGCAGCCTCCAGAGCCTTCCTTGCTCCTGTTATTTCTGCATCCAGTACCTCTCCCCCGTGCTTGATGCCACTTCCTTTGCCGATAAGTTTCCCATCCTTCCTCAGAACGAAACCCCAGGCGGAGCGTCCATGTCCTTCCGATGAACCATCCGAGTATGCGCAAATGCATGACGTTATTGTTTGTTTGTTTGTTTTCTATTTTTTCGTTCGTCGGGGCGCCAAGCTTAACTTAGGTCCCTACTACCCACTAAACTACCTAGAGGCATGGACGCCAGTGCTTACTGCCCTGGTGGCTTCGCCCTTGCTACTTCCTAACTAGGTTTGCAGGGCAGTTCTCTAATTACATGATTGCGTTTAGCATGTCACCTGCACTTTTTCAGCCAGTCCCCGAGGCTCTTTACTCATTTGATGTAGCACAGCCACTATTGGGATGCTACTAATAGATCCATTCAGAAATAGCAAACCATCCATCCATGACGCAAGGCTCAAAGTTGAGGCAGAGTTTAAGACCTATTTATTCCTTCTCTGGAATTTCTAGGGCAGATCCTAGTGTAAAACTCAAGAAAGGAAAGCCGCTTTGCTACACGTGGGACTTCTTCCCAGGTTCCTAGCAAGAATTTCTTTGGGCCCCTTGAAGATGCTGGAGCTCGATGGGGTCTATGGGTGGTTAGGTGGTATCCAAGGAAGTTCAATGGGGCTATGAGCTGTCCGCAGCCACCCAGCTTCAGCATGATTAACTGAGTCATTCAAGTCGTGAGAAGCAACCCAACGTTGGATCACATGATTAACGTCCTTAAAAGAGGCTGGGCTTGAAAGATAGCCCAGCCTAACTGAGGCGGGCACAGCCCGTAACATCTAGTAAGACCATAGCCGCACACTTACCACTTCTCATGGCCGCCTCAGCATCATGGATTACACAGGATGCAAGGTCGACTGCAGATCGTCCTGGTACGGAGCCAAATAGTTGTGGGTGAACAACTTGGTGACTTATCGTCAGCCATGCCATTCTCTTACCAACTAGACGCTCAAGTCCTTTACCTAAACTTGACAACAGCGAGATTGGTCGCCAACCCTTGGCAGTTGACAGATTTCTACCCGGCTTTGGAAGAAGTACAACTTCTGCCACCCTGAAAGCCGTAGTAAAGTAGCCGATTTTGAGACAAGCATGATAAAGATCCTTGACCAGAGGTCCTAGATGGGACCAACAGGCTCTTAGTAACCGGACCGTTATCTTGTCCGCTGCCGGTGCCGTGTCGTTGATAGAGTCAATGGCGCTTGTCACATCGTCCAGTGATATTTCCATATCCCATGGAATACGCTCCTCCTGTCCATTCTCCCAGATAGAGATGTCTTTCTCGCCGCTGAATCTTGCCAACATAATATCTGGTAGCGCACTAGCTCGCTCTCGTGGGTCACATAATCACCGGTTTTTGTCAATCTGCAGAGGAGGCTCAGCAGCTGGTCGAGGCTTAGCCCATCGCATGAGCTTGAGGACGTGGGCATCAGTCGTAACTGCTTCCACTTGCCTTTTCCAGTACCCTCGCTTTGCTTTTAGCACCACGCCTCTAAAGCTTCTTCGGGCCTCTTTTGCGAGGTCCGGGTTGTCTCTCGCTACCTTGTAATTCTGCCATTCCGTACGACATTTATCGCTCCACTAGGGCCCAGCTTTTCGGCTTTCGATGGCTGAGACTTTTCCCGCAATCTTCAGCGCATCTTCAAGTGCTTGTAGGAAATGATTCGTGAAATTATCGATGTTGTTGACACTGTCAAGAGGGCCAGGTTTAGTCCATTGGCTAACGCATCAGCTAAATTCATTCAAGTTGGCTTTGCTGACACGAATGTTCCTTGCGATTCTAGAGAGATCTGACACTGTAGGATTCAGTACAGTACCCTCGATGATCGAGTGATTTGAGGTACAGTAGCAGACGCGCGGCTATTAGTGTTGCCTATTCAAGGTTCAATATCATGTGATATACAGGGCCTAAGCTAAGGATTGTGCGTTCACGTATATGGGTTACGAATGTCTTAGTGTTGACTATGAACTCAAAGCACGCCTGTAATCTTGGATTGCAGAATGCCTGTGGAGTTCGTTAAGTCTGGTGTAAGTTCGTTGTTCATTCAATGCTAACTAGAAACTCCCTAAGACTACAAACACGCCAACCTATGATTACATTATATATACCACACTAATGTTATCATCCCTTTGTCCCGTGACCTGGACACACAGGATGTCATAATTAGCCCATTTTTGTGATTGACTTTTAGCCTTTGACAAAGAATATAGTCTATTAGAACTACAATGGTTGGTGTGTTGGATGTGGTAGAGGCAAACCAGTGCAAAGATACCTTAATCTTGTACATGGGAGAATTCTTCACTCAATTAGATACCCATAGTCTTCAATACTCATCAATCAAACCGCAAGATTATCACATCCTGCGCACCATGATATAAAGAGCTTGAGCCCACCGACCAGCGTAATCTCGGTTTCAAAATAGCCCTGGATGATATCTTATCCACAGTTTTTCAGAGGATACTACCAATAGTTATTCCTCCTCTGGATTCTGAATTCCGTGAGTATTTGTTTCAGATTTATAATTTTTTAATAAGCATAACAATATGACAACTTTTTGAGAATATGATAAACTAAGGATCACCTATAAAGAACCATTTATCATCTTTATTATACAGCCTTTGCCTTATATTTACTCCACATTTTATTTCGTTGTCTTAATTTCACTGACTCGCGTCGCGAGAAGCTGTTGTGGTTATGAGCTATGCGGAAGTCACATTGCGGAGTGATGAGGAGTGGATAATGTTATAATTTGTGATTGACAGTGAGTAGCCTCTTACAATACTATACTGTAGGTATGTGGACAGAAAGTATAAGACTAAACCTGTGTCCATTTATTGTGGGTACATCTATGAAACTATATACATGCTCGCCTAACCAGTACACTAGTGATGTATACTGTTGCCTTGAGCCACACGCGATGCCCTGGCCTCGACTACCTCGTTGTCTCATATCATAACAGAAGCGCCGCAACATTGTTACTTCAAGCTATGACGTAATTTGGTGTTCAGTTCTGACATATTTATCGTTAAGATACCAGTGAAAATGACTGGCCGTCACAGCTATAGACATCTTTACCAATGTACCAAAAAACACCATAGAAATTACATTGTTGGTCTAGAATAACAACGCCATTATTTGATACTCTTTGAGCTTTCCCGATAAAATCAACACTAATAATTTCTAGAATGGGGCGGGTTCTTACCATAATTGTATTCATTATTTTCTGGTAGTCTCAAATTTATTTTCCAAAGTTTAGATCTACTTATAGAGGGTAGTAGTCTCAGTGGTGTAAGCTTTATTTTCCACTTCTTGCCATTATAGCCATCTGGCGGTCTGATCAGCGTGCAGGCCATCTGCATGTGACTGTTGACTGATTCGCGTGAATACAAAAATTCACCGCATCTGTACTCCCTCACGCCGCTGAAAAGCCACTCTCCGATGGAATTTCTGGTGTTATCCACTGACTGAAAAGGTTCTGGCTCCTTTTCCCAGAGCTCTAAGCATTTTTCCCATTGGTTGCCGACTTTGTTTACCATGCCTAGTAACCGGTACTCGGAATCTATAACGATGAGGCTAGGATTTGAAGTCACTTCTATTTAAAGGTTAGGCGCCCGTATGCGTGAGTTGAGAATACACTGAATATACCTTTGAACTGTTCCGGAGTGTAGGAAATCTTGCTTGGAAGCAATAAAATTTCTCTACCGAATAACTGTCCAATGTCTAAAAGTCTAGAGAAACTAATTACAGTTTCCTGGGATTGCCACAAACTAGAGTTTTCGTATGCCTCTTTCAGGATCTTTTCTACTTGCGAATTGCCAAATATTTTGTAGCCACATTTATAACCACGAAATACAGGTAGACTTCTTGAGACACGGCTGTCATAAAGATCAAGTTCTCCTGATGGATCTGCAGGCTGATAGCAACGTCGATCTGGCGAGGTATTGGATTTTATGACAATTCCGAAAAAGTTGCAACTTGAGTCTATGATTAATCGAAGATCTCGAGAAGGTCCTAAACACTCTTTAGTATGTTATCTGTCGACCACAGAGTTCCCCAACAGGTGATGTAGGGATAATGTGTCTCTACCTCTGTAGCTTATTTCGCCTTGACGTGAAATAGCCGAGGCGAAAAGAATAGCGTCAGAAACGAAGAACGTTGATGAACCATCGTACACAGATGGGTATTTTTTGTCCTTTTGTGCATGAATGAGGCCTTGACAAGCATCATTCGCGGCTTGACTTACGGCGTGGTAAGGTATGACTTGTTCGTCACATACGAAGTCCTCACTGACAAAAAATACCCCAATCGTGTAGCTCAGAAAACTTGTCAGTACGCCAAAGATTACTGAAGACCTCTTCATATCTTTTTGGATGCATATTTAAATGAATTAGTTGATTCTCGTTGCAAGTTCCTTAACCCTTATAGTTAGTTGGAGGCGGCTAATAAAACCAAATTAAATTGAAGGATGCGTTAGGAGATTATCCTCATCTCTCGCAAGGGCTACATAGGCGTCTGGTACTTTGCTGCCAAGTCATCTGCTGACATATGTCTCTACGAAGGATTTCAAAGCAATTTAAACAGCTACAACCTTGGTCACTTGAGACTAGTGCCCGTCTCAGGTAATTGGATTTGAGGATGTTTTACATGTGTAGCTGTGCAATAGTTGCTATTATACTTGATGAACTTGAGAAATGTGTGTTTACTTTGAGCTAAGATTTGGTCACATTACAGTAATTGAAACGGTATCATAAACCAAACGAGTGGGAGTAGAAATATCGTCGGTATATTAATGAGTGAAAGTGCGACCATCAAAGCATTTACTACAACTAAAACCAACCAAGTTAGGCAAATAAAGAAAGCTGAATACCTACCAGCGGTATCCCATAATAACCTGCGAGTGGAAAATTCTCCCATATCTAAGACTCATTCACTACAAGGAGAGTATTTGAGAGCTTTCGTCGGGATTGCTATCGGAAAGAATAGTGTACGGAAGTTTTGGGTCCAAAATTCGACCTGTAGAGATTTCATGACCGCACAACCCAACGAGACCAAAAATCCACGCCTCAAATACGAAGTATAAAGAGGCTAGAATCTGTTAGGTGTTCACAGAAAGCAGTTGGCAATCTTAAATATCTCAAGATTTTCAGGAAGGTCTTTCCCAGCTAAAACCATGTCGCGAACATCTTCAAGTTCATCTTGCTACCTACCGAAGCGCTTCAAAATCTTTGACCAATGAGAATATGCATATTTCTACGGTACTACGTGCTGTTGAGGTGCGGTCAAAATATCGGCCTTAAATGCGACTATACCTTGGTCAAGGGCACCAATAACTCAACCTATGACGAATTACGCTCGAAATCTCACTAGCACATCAACCAGAATGTTCTAAAAAGGAAGAGAGGTTGGTGACCCAGTTTTGAGCCCTTCTATCCATGCTTGACCCTCATGGCTAAGAGAACGGCAGCGACGCGGCAAGGTCGGAGGAGTGGAAAGTCAACAAAGTTTCCAAGATGATGAAATTGACTGAAATATTAAAGAGAAGCTACTATTGAAGTTAAATGGGAAGAAAATCTAAGGAGACCCCGATGGACGACTGGATGAGATCTGAAATGAAGAAAGCGCTCATTCGATAATATCAGGAGTTACTGGAAAGAGACTGCGCTGAATCCAAACGGAACGTCAAAGTTGGGCTCTTTGGACGGATGGACCTGACATGTTCGACACACGGGCAAATTCTGAGGTGTGACGAGGCTTTTGTACTCTGTGGCACTCAACATCATCTGCTCCTGCCCCAACTGTGCTTAAGATTCCACAGGAGTGCCGAGGATGCCAATTGCCTAGGACGTTAAGTTATAGATAAGTAATAAACATTGCAAAATAGGAGGCTTTGTGTTGGATTTTCAGGTAACTGGGAGCCTGAACTACAACAGGCGAAGTATGTAATTAAAGTAAAAGATAACTCAGTAAAAACAACTTGATTCCTATTTCTCCCGGAATTCTAGGACGGTATACATTGATCATGATTGACTTGATCTCTAAATATAGACATGCGCTATGAATAGAATAACCTGCAGTTCTAAATGTAGAATGTAAGCACTGACCAAAGTAAACAACCCACGTACGTGTGGACAGACCCTGCTTTTAACTCGAGACATTTCTCTGTCGTACTTCTTCGGCGGTTATTCTTAGCCTTCGACATGAGTAGAAATCTTCATTTAATTAGTTTACTCTACAACAATAGATTAATTGAACTCAACTTTAACGATACTCTGTATATAATATACAAGTCAAAGAGGAGCACCCATTCAATGAATTTCCCCCATCACTATCGGGACCCATTGGAAGCCGTTGAACACAGAGGATCAGATGAAAAATGAAGGGTGAAAGCTTGTTGAAAACAATTCCTGTTTAAATTTAAACCCTCCGTGCACATGAAACATGTAGCCGGAGGGCAAGACTGAACACCTGTACGCGGTGTCCTCTACGAACCTGGGAGTGAAATATTCTCCCAGAGCCAAGTTCAGTCAAACTTCGCAATACCGAACAAGTTGGCACTCGAGGCAATGATTCAAAATACTCCATCATGTCAAACATTCACTCCCAAAGATTCCGATTCCTACCTTAGTCTCATTAAGCCTACAAGTACGACCCAGTACATCCTCATTTCAATGACCACACCTCTCGTCGACTTTCTCTGGCCTCAGCTGGTCGCCAAATACACGCCCACGCCGATATTTATACCCGATGGAGGACACAAAGCGGGGCGCACAAATCTGGGAGACAGTTCATTGGGATTGGCGTGAGAGGATTAAGGACAAGTTAACAAGATGATGCGACGGATGGATACAGTCTCGACGGGCGTGGAATTTTGAGTTTTGGAAAGGAGTTTTTACAAATTGAGCTTTGTGCGTGCCAAGTCTTCGGCTGCGAGAGTGCAGGCGACACTATAAAAACTGCCATGGTTGGATGGTGCGGTGGTACATCGTCTTGGCCGGTCTGCCAAGTAGAGTCTGGATAGCTTGGACACATATCCCACTCGAGACAGTAGATTGCTGGTTCAAATCCGGCAAAACACAACCACATTTCTCGCGGTGCTGGTATGCATGGATGACGAAGGCATGCTTGGATAACCAAAGGTTTTAAAACGTCCCTTTGGTGGGTACATACGGAGGAGGGTCGACTGTTTGTGTAAGCAAACGTACTTCATAGTGGTATTTGCAAATGAAATCCAGAGTATGAGTGTCTCTAACGTCAAAAGAGTCATCCCACATGTATCCATAGCGCCGGTCATGTGTCATGTGTCATAGCTAGATAGCTGAATACACATTAAATGATTTAAAAAAAAAAAAAGAAACATATAGCCGGCAAAGACGAGCTTTTCGCCTTCCAGTAGTGCAGGTATAATCACTCAGTATACTCTGCATATCTGAGATAGCCAAGAAGAATCGCATCTGAATTGAAGTCGAAAGAATTCTCAAACACATCTCCATTTGACGACTTCTCGACAATGCCTCTCTCATTATTATCATCTGAGTCCTCAACCCATCTCTAACTACGCATCATCACACATCAACGACCAATAAAGAAGTTGCTCCAATTGCATACAGGAGCTTACCCCATTAATTTCCAGCCATCTCTCACTACATATTTACGACGCTATTTATATCCGCAAGGAGGAAATCAAGTCGAAAAATACAAAGCCTGGGTCTTGACTTATGGGGGACTGTTGCTCTAATACGACAAACAACTTGAGGAAGAACAGGCGCCTGAGATGTGGAGCGAGAGGGGGAACAGGTCTCTGAAGACCATGCTAGGACTGACATTTTCGAGGAGTTTTCAACTTTGGATTTTTTGTCGGCGCCAAGACCAAGATTTCGGCTAATTGGCCAGGAGGGCTTCTTCTTTCGATGAGGCAACGGCACTCCCCAGTGCCCTGGACGGCACAAAAGAAGCTAGGCTAAGCTACTATACAGCAATGACGCTCTGTTGTCACGGATTCTAGGACAGGTGCTGGAGCAACCATGTGGTTGATGGTAGTAGATAATAATTCTAAGGAGAGAACTACTACAAGATCTATCTACACATGTATACATACAAAAGAGCCTCATGTTATACGACGTCATTGCACTATCAATTGAGGAGGTTGTGTCCGATCTCATATATTCCCAGGCGATAGCTTCTCACCGACAAGTGGTGCCATGTTGAGCTGCACTGTTGAATCGGATGCTATGCAGATTCCGATACTCCGATATTAGATCGATCGTGCGCACCCTAAATCGGACCAAGCCTAAGTTAGCCAACATAGGCTACAGGAACCAGCCGTCACATCTGTCAAGACTTTTCTGACATTTCACTACGACCTCCAGGAAGGAGTTGAAAGGAGGCTAGAAAGACAGAATGTGAATTCTCCGAGGTACCCACAAGTCTGCAGCGCCCAGCTGGCCGGCCTCTTCGAACGCTTCGGAAGGGTCACTATGTCTTCGGATTTAGTCCTAATGTCGGTATTAGGAGAGCTTCGCACCCAGTTGTGTTTGCGAATTTTCCCGGCTGCCATACACCTGCAAATGGCCATCGTTTCGTTGGATAGGGATGGGAGATAAAGAGAAAATGGCTTCTTTACGTGTATGATCAAATGAGGACTTGCGTGGGGAGTTGTATGGGAGGTATAGGAAGGGATCCACTACTAGATAGGTAACCTTGGACTGTAGGCAGAGAGGACCTACGTGTACTACATAGTCAGAGACTCAGATAGAACAATAAAATGAAATAAAACAAGTGTTTTAAGTTGGAATAACTGGGGCTATCAAGTAGGCCACGTTATTGATACACATATGACTACATAGTCTGTAATTAGTTTCATTTTGGTAGTTTCCTGAATCAATGCACTCTACAACTTCAATAACTGAGGGGTCATTACTTCCTTAATAGAACGCAACATAACGGGGAGTTGTTGGCAATTGCAAGGAATGCCAATGACAGTCAGAAATAACGCAGGCTCCAACATTAATCGAATGAATGTGCTCTAAAAATTCATCACTAGGAGCACATTTTTTCTTAATATGAAGGCTAATTTCTTCAGACAGCTTCTTAGCACTAGAGTCACTGAAATGAACAAGCATCCAGGAATGAGCCAAAAGGTCATTGAACCCATACCTCTGCTGGGAAAAAAAATCGTCGGGAGTAGAATCATATTTGGGCGTAACTATATGTTCTGTATACATACGGTGTTCGGGAAGTTGTTCGGACTCTAACGGGGATCTGACTTGGCTCATTAGCAAGGCGCCTGGGGTGAAGGATGAGGGGGAGAATCGAGACATCAACGTATGCCTTTCGAGATACCAGTTAGTTTACGTAACCCACCGAATTCGTGACGGTACATGATTTGTATTATTTCGTATTTTACCAACACGACCCGTTCGGTGATTGCCGGCACTGGATATGAAGAGAGCGTAGAGAATAGGAGGTGAAGGATGATAGCACCCGGATGGGGCGCGACTGCGGATCAGCCATTGTATCCCATCTGATACCCCTAGCCCTGTGTATGGAAATTGATGTAAAGCGTAAGAAATCTTCTATGTTTAACTTAGTTATAGCACGGCAAAGGATTCTTGAAGGATCTAGAGCACGAAGAGACAATGATGAAATGAAGCAGCTCCACCCATCCTAACCTGGGAGATGACGAGGAAAATTAGCTCTGAAGCACAGCGAAAAGATGGTCGAAGTAGACTATCTAGTCACGTATATTCATTGACCTTTGCTCAGGCCTTGGGAGTATCTAATTTTCATAAACCAACAGATTTCAGTTGCGGCTATTCCGCTAACAATGCGCTTTTCCAGCCTAGCCATCATCTTTCAAAGCGCAAGCATCTTCGTCACGACTCTGGCTGGGACCAGTGTAAATCACATAGATGAGAATAGAAAATCATTTTTTTGTAATGGAGTCCTTATTGAGTACAATCAATTAGCACAACAACGAACACTATTACAGAGAATAGCAGGCATGACTAACCCAAATGGCTTGTTTCAAATATTTCTCGAAAAATGAAAAGATGCAGACGGGGAAAATGTTATAAATAAGAGACCTGTCATGTATAGAGATCGTAATTCCATAGAGTTATCTTTTTACCAACTCGACGACATGACAATATGTAGGTATCAATACTTTTCTGCGTCAGAGTGGCACAGCTAATACTCAACATCAGGCAAGAAATCCGAGACGTCTATAGTAAGATCTGAATATTTTATCGTCGTCGATGGCCGCGAACGCGTGTGTGCTCTAATGTTGGCAATGACAACGTACAATGCACCAAGTTATCATGAGCTCTTTTTTTTTTTTGCATCAGATTTTAATTGCATATGCAGCTTTTTTTTTTTATTTTTTTTTTAAATCATTTTTTATTCAGCTATTTAGCTATGACAAAGCATATGCAGCTATCTAGCTATGACACAATATCAAAGAAAAGTACAGAATAGATGATTCAACGTAAAGGAAAAGCACTCATACCTCGGATTTCATTTGCAAGTACCACTGCGAGGTTATCGTGGCTTTTTCTTCCCAAGTCAACCCTCATCCGTGAATGCCCACCCAGGGGAACCTCTCAAAAACCCTGAGTTATCCAGACATGCCTCCATCATCTTTCAACTTTTCTCCGCGCGAATTATGGTCTTAGGCGTCTCCTTCCAAAGTGAAGTAGATATCCAGACTACTCAAACTATAACAGAGAACATCACCAGGGGCCGTACCACGACACCTTCCATCGTTGGCTTGTTTTTATAGTGGCAGCTGCACTCTCGCAAGCGAAGTCTTGGCGCGCACAAAGCTCAATTCGTAAAACTCTTGCCAAAATTCGAAATTTGACGCCCTACGAGGTTATATCCTTCCTTTGCATCACTTGTCACCTTGCCCTGATCCCTCTCACGTCGGTGCTAAAGAACTATCTCCCATATTTGTGCTCCCTGCTTTGATTCCTCCGTCGGGTTTAAATATCGGCGTGGACGTGTATTTGGCGGTCAACTGAGGCCAGAGAAGGTCGAAGATTGGTGTGATCATTGAGATGAGGATGTACTTGTAGACTTGATGAGGCTTGAAAAAGAGACAAGCTCGTTGGGAGCGAGAAAACGACGTGGTGGAGTAATTTGAATGATTGCCTCGTGGGCCAACTTCTTTGATATTGCGAAATTCGACGGAACTTGGCACTGGGAGAATATTTCACTCCGCAGTTCGTAGAAGACACCACTGACAGGTGTAAGGCTGAATACGTGTCTGTGATATTGTTACAAGCTGCGCAGTACATTCATGCACCCGCGTCTATGTACGAATCGCCGATCCGATGGACATGAATCTCCCTGGGGCTAGAGTTACATGTATTCATGTTTGTTAGCCTAGACGGATACCGTTTCCTAGATATTTAGAAAACAGACTGTACTACGGCCAGCTCACTTTGTTATTGATTAGCTGATAGCCCACCACAGGTATTCCCTACGAACCTGGGAGTAAAATTTTCTCTCAGAACCAAGTCTAGTTGTCCCAAACGGTCGAATCGACTTTTCCTGACTGAGATTCCTATCAGAAGGAGCGGTGCTGGGCTATTTTTGGCTGAAACCCCCGGATTGTAGGGATTGCTCGACTATACAAACCACAAAGGGAACAATCAAGACGATATGACCCTTACATTCAAGCCTCTTTGTGATGGGTAATGATCGGAGGACGCAAAACCCGGGTTACTGAGTGGTGATTGGGCATCTTCAATTTACTGGGCTCTCTTGGGGACGTCAACACGTCGGGTAATCAATGTAGATGGAGCCATCTGGCACTTGGACGTGTAGTCTGGTGTTGTGCGCCAGCAAGACGTTACGTAACTAAAAAACTAAGGAAAAACACATGAAACATTTTTATAAGCATTTTCATCATGACAGGATTTGTGCATTTTCCTCTGTAAATCATGATTCTGCAAGGGTAATGTCAAATCATCATAAAAATGCGGGACCAATGTCTCTCCGCACTTCTACAGCTACTCAAAGACTCATAGCCTTTCCAGTGTGTGGTTGATTGAGGTGCAGACTTTATGTGGAAGCTAGCAGATTACTCTGCCGTAGGCAAGGAATAATGGTACATGTTTTATTTTAGTCTTGAACACATTCCAGATGAAGGAGTTGCACCTCATTAACTCGCACTCGTCTTTGCTTGGGCATGAGAGTCCTGCAACTTTGATTGTTGAGGATTTATGCAGATTCGCAGGATATCGTGACAACAGTTTATCGCCAAGACGTTCGTCAGAAAGCGGGGATGGTGAAGTCGTGGGGATTTTGATTCATTTTATTGTCCTGTCTGAGTCTATGACTATGTAGGATACGCAGGTCCTCTCTGCCTACAGGCCAAGGATACCTATGTCAGCAGTATATCTCTCCCTATGCCTCCCCTATAGCTCCCCTCAAACAGTACCAGCCCTGACAAGTCCTCATTCGATCATACACTTAGAGGAGCCTTCTGCCCTTCATTATCTCCCCTCTCCAGCCGACGAAACGATGGCCATTTGCGGGTGTATGGCAGCCGGGAAAAATCGCAAAAACCACTGGGCGCGGAACTCTCCTAATACCGACATTAGGAAGTCGTGCGGATTAAATGATGAGGTTTCAACTCGAAAAGTTATAAATTGCCAAAGCCCTGCGCTTTGCATTTTTTGTATCAGATTTTGATGGCGTTTGCAGCGATGTAGCTATGAGACAATATCAGAGAAAAGGCATAGGATAGGTGACTCAATTTCATGGAAGAGCACTCATGCCTCGGATTTCATTTGCAAGTACTACGGCGAAGTTATCGTGGCCTTTCCTTCACCCCAAGTCATCCCTCATCCGTCAATACCCACCCAGGGGAACCTCTCAAAAACGCAGAGTTATCTTGACATGCCTCGGCCATCCATCGACTTTTCTCCGCGCGATATGTGGTCTTAGGTGTCAATTATTTAAAGTGTCGACAACTCTGGGCTTGATGATGGCTAGCAAGACGAATAATAACATGAGCTGTCATTTAAGATAAAAGATCGAAAAGACATTGGAAGATAAGACCAACATAGATAGGGCTGATTAAATTATGATTAAGGTGTGAGTAGGCATGAAGTGTTGAATAGTCTAGGAATAGTAGAGAAGGTGGAAAACGATTATCAGAGCTTGATGATATGATGAATAGCTTAGTTATCATCATCTACATATCACAGTAGTAGATAGGACTTGTATACACATTCTCGGTACCCGCTATACAGTACATCAGCGTCTATGCAGGAAGTACTACAATCCCACATAACTCTATGCCATTGTGTGGAGCTGCGCCCCAATGGTCCATCGTAATGATGGCCATGTAAGCCTATGCATTACTCGCATAGATGTGCTGTGCTGTGCTGTGCTGTGCTGTGCTGTGCTGTGCTGTGCTGTGCTGTGCTGTGCTGTGCTGTGCTGTGCTGTGCTGTGCTGTGCTGTGCTGTGCTGTGCTGTGCTGTGCTGTGCTGTGCTGTGCTGTGCTGTGCTGTGCTGTGCTGTGCTGTGCTGTGCTGTGCTGTGCTGTGCTGTGCTGTGCTGTGCTGTGCTGTGCTGTGCTGTGCTGTATCCCTGGCACTTGGCTGAGATAAATCTGGATTAAATGCAAGAATCACATGACAACAGATTAGCACAGAGTAGGTATGAGCAATGTGAATGTAGCCAGAAGCATCTTCATGTTAGTAGTCAAGTGCGCGATATATACAGTGCCTCTGGGATATGAAATGTTAACCTCTCCTGTGCATCACAATGTAGAGTATCAAATTAATTAGCGTAAAACGCGGTCATACCCGAATCGATAACAAAGGAGAATTGTGAACAGCAGCTATTGCCGCATAGTATCCAGTGTGGTGCAGTAAATTTGGCGACGAGTAAGCTCGAAGCAACATGGCATGGTAAGCCTTTGGCGGCCTAAGGATCTTGTCAGGAGGCCAACCTCGCATTCCAGATTCCTGGGTCTTTGCAGTTGTCACCTGAATCCAGTATCGAAATCAGATTACCTCTGGCCTATTGAACCATCACAAGCCCTAGATACATTGTTTGATGTTGCCACAACTTATTTCGCTTGTCTGCTGATTTTGTAATTTCTCTCACCTAAATCTCTTGGAAATTGGTGGGAGATATTGGTGTAATAAAACTATGGTAATGACCAAAATAAGGCGCAAGCTAAATGTAATTCAGTTGCCCATAGGCTATCTTCTAATTCTTACTCTCCTCGTATCAATTACTTCTCTTTCTCATAAAAACCAATTTTAACGAATTCTCGCACCAGCCTATCCCGTGCCTCTTCATTTCTTCCTATCAAATACCTTATTTCTGGCGACTCCTATACAAACCTCCTCTGTGGACAGTAATCTCTGCTGCTCCTCGTGGCCCCACAATATAGTCTCTTGAGCCACTTCAACAACACTCGGATCGATAGTGATTGCACCTGCGAAAACCTCAACTTACACATGATACTCGTTGAGGCTCTTGGTCTACGCCCTCTGTTATCAGCGTCATGCACTGCAATTTCTTGGTAGTCTCTTCAATCATGTTATTCGGAAAGGGGGATATCTTTCAGTATGACCTGATCAAACCACTTAAAGGAGATACCACCCATCAGTATCTCCGCTTTGAGGGGCTCGTGGAAACGCCATTTGAACTACCAAGATCTCTGACACGTGAACGATTATCGAACGTATCGCAAAATCATATTATTTACAAGATTTGCGCCGAGATAGAAGCAGATCTCTCATCCCTCGAGGAAAGCTTAAGAGAACATACCTATCGCAAGAGTGATGAGGCAATAGACCCTACAGAAATGGACCCATCGTACATTGGATGCTCCAAGCAGCTTGACAAATTGACTGTTGGAATAACTCAAATCTTTATGTCTGCAATCAGGAAAAACAAGCTGCCGCCTTGTACAGCCAAAATGCTTATCAAAGATATCTCCTATCGTCGCGCTAGAGCTTATGGCCCTTACGGCAGCTACAGTCACCAAGACAGAGCCAAGATTGCCATTATTTGGGATGATTTTATTCCCTTTCAAGAGTTATTCGATGAATTGGATCCCTTGATGACCATGAAAAAGCAGGATGATATCATCCATCTTGTATATATCGCTGGATTCCTTAAACTCATAGTGCGACCATATTTGGAGGAAGGCTATTTGATCCTGCCGGCTCTCGGAAATCTATTCCACAACGATATTTACAAGTTTTTAGAAAATTCCGGTAGACACACAATAGTTCCACCGCATAGAATTTATCACCGGGGGTGATGAGTTGACCGAATTGAGTTAATTGATGCACATTTTGAAGATTTGACTTGATAGCTCTAGCGTGCCCGGGAATCCCTGGTTGGGATGTTTAAAGAAGTAGAGTCAGCGGGGCAAGAGTAAACGGAAGGTGAGATAGAGTATCTAGAGAATATATGAATTGATAAAGCAATATAGAGTGATGTGTGTACAAGTTAAGCGCCGAGGACGTTCGTGAGCGCTAGGTCTGGGTCAATATATCTTTCGATTCAAGGGCCGTTAGGTGTAGCTAGTATCGGATCCAATGGTATACGCTACTCGACTAGACCGCGTGAACCTGTATCAAAAACTAGAGGAATTTCCCAGCATGCGGCCCGTCACCTCTTTTCATGAAATTCGTGCTAGTTGGCAATGAAGAACATCATTGACTTGGAATGTTAAAAAATGGTTATTTCCGTTGCAAATCTAGACTCAGTACGTATGAAGGTTTTGTTGTGATGTGATTATTGCATTTACTCTAAATTTATCTCTTCCAAGTGCCAGGGATACAACACATCTATGCGAGAACTGCACAGCCCTACATGGCTATCATTACGATCGACTATTGAGGCGCAGCTCTATACAATGGCAAAGAGTAATGTGGGATAGTATTGCATGGAGTTAAGATTGTAGTAATTCATGCATAGACGGTGATGTACTGTATAGCGGGTACCAAATATGTGTATATAAGTCCTATCTACTACTGTGATATGTAGAATAATATAACCAAGCTATTCATCATATCGTCAAGCTCTGATAATCGTTATCCACCCTCTGCACTATCCCTAGAATATTCAACATCTCATACCTACTCATACCTTAATTACAATAGGTTTAGATTTCTAGGTATGATCATCAATATCAATTAGATTGATTCCATTGCATATGAGTAAGCTTAGCTGGGTGGAGGACAAGACTGAAAACCTGTACACCGTGTCCTCTACGAACTGCGGAGTGAAATATTCTCCCAGAGCCAAGTTCCGTCGAATTTCGCAATATCAAAGAAGTTGGCCCACGAGGCAATCATTCAAATTACTCCACCACGTCGTTTTCTCGCTCCCAACGAGCTTGTCTCTTTTTCAAGCCTCATCAAGTCTACAAGTACATCCTCATCTCAATGATCACACCAATCTTCGACCTTCTCTGGCCTCAGTTGACCGCCAAATACACGTCCACGCCGATATTTAAACCCGACGGAGGAAGCAAAGCAGGGAGCACAAATATGGGAGATAGTTCTTTAGCACCGACGTGAGAGGGATCAGGGCAAGGTGACAAGTGATGCAAAGGAAGGATATAACCTCGTAGGGCGTCAAATTTCGAATTTTGGCAAGAGTTTTACGAATTGAGCTTTGTGCGCGCCAAGACTTCGCTTGCGAGAGTGCAGCTGCCACTATAAAAACAAGCCAACGATGGAAGGTGTCGTGGTACGGCCCCTGGTGATGTTCTCTGTTATAGTTTGAGTAGTCTGGATATCTACTTCACTTTGGAAGGAGACGCCTAAGACCATAATTCGCGCGGAGAAAAGTTGAAAGATGATGGAGGCATGTCTGGATAACTCAGGGTTTTTGAGAGGTTCCCCTGGGTGGGCATTCACGGATGAGGGTTGACTTGGGAAGAAAAAGCCACGATAACCTCGCAGTGGTACTTGCAAATGAAATCCGAGGCATGAGTGCTCCTCTTGTAAATTGAGTCATCCATTACACACTTCTTCGATATCGTGTCATAGCTAGAAAGCTGCATACGCAATTAAAATCTGATGCAAAAAGAACTCCGTTCGCCAAACACCAGTCGATCGGGACTACTAATATCGAGCCTAGTAGCATCAACAAAATGTATCCTAACATAGAAATAGTAGAAAACTCAACAACCAAACCCTTCAATAATAACTTCCATTAACCGTCACCTGATTTGTTTCTGTACTCCATAATTTCAACAGGGAGTACACTACCCAAAGCATAGATATTCCCGGCTTGTAGACAGAAAAGACCTACATGTCCTTACATAGTCATAGATTCAGTAAGACAATAAACACTCATGTTTACCCATACATTGACCAGACTCCAATTACATACAACAGTAGAGGAATCGTGTCCTTCGCTTGGTGTTATGATGTGAAATCACTCAGCCAATTCGACAAGCTGTATTAGATGATATAGAGATCTATACAAGATGCGGTTGGTGTAGTGACATCATAACACTTGTATGTGGATGGTGTGAACAAGAATGTAAACTATTCTATAGCATATGATAGAATATCTTACATCACAAGATGGAATATTCTACTAGCAATTAGATAGACGAGCTTTAGGTATAAATAAGAGTATTCTCCTTCATATAGATAGCAATCATTAGGAAACGAATCTAATAAAGCGAACACATATCATCGTCCACTTCATAATAGTGTCAAGCACATATTGATAAAGCCACTGTTTGTATGCAATTCCCCTCCTCATAATTACAATACTTAGCCGCAATAGAATAAATAAATCCATTATCCTGATTTAGCGCCTTGAGGCCTATGCTGGTTTTGACGGAAGATTTGTAGTTCGAGTAGGACTCGGGTTGAAAATAGAGTACTCCCGCCTCGTATTTCATTCGACGCCCGACTACACGGCAGGAGTGATATGTAGCCAGTTGAACGGCTCTTTCAATTGCATGCGTGAGTAGAGATATGTGAGCATGCAGACGATGAAATTTATTTGTAATATTTAACATCGTTCTCGCGCACAGCACATGAGCTCCTCACGTACCGGTCAGCCCAGTCCATATAAAACTACCCGACGTGTTGGCGCCTACATAGACCCAACATAGCAAATGAAATCCAGCATCCTATTATCCTGCGCTCGAAGTTTGAATTTATATGAACATCGGCCTCCCGCTGTCTCTCATGATTTACAGATGTTATTCAATGGAGGATACAAAGTAAAGAAATAAAATTGATAAAGAGGGAAATTGCTTAGATCACTTTAAAGCTTTCTAGCTTTTATTACGTCATCAGCTATAAAATGCATTGACTCCCTCCGCCGAGTCAAGAGCCCAAGATATGGTGGGATTGAAGATCTGAGCCCTGTAGATCTGTACCTGGTACTGCCCGAGGCGGCAACACAAAAAGTGTTCGGGGGACTTCTCTTCTCCGCATGGGTAGGTAAGGATGGCGTTTTCGTACTGAAAGCGTCGGTGGTAGTCTGCAAAATTACCACGTCAAGATCCTGTAGCTAAAAGATATCCTAGCGTGCATCGTCCTAGACGAGCGAGCTCAATGGTGATCATAGTATTAGGACTAATACCTAATCCTTTGTATCTAGACGGTGCGTTTTCGGCCCAATAGATTGCAACAGAAGCCTCATATTGTTGGAAATGGAGACACAGAGTATTGTGGACGTACAGGCCCTCCATTTCGTCTAGGTTCCCGACACAATCTTGTGTGTATTTAAGAGGTTGGAATGAGTAAAATGGTAGCGCTTCAGGCTACCTAACGGATACATGAGCGGCTATGTGGCGTGGTCACAAGGAGATTATTGGGGGTTTTCTATGCCTAGATGGCGCCACACTCGTTTATGCTGTGGCTTAGGCTACATGTCGCTTACACTTGTACTTGTAGCGCACACTTCACACTCCGCTAGTCAACTTCTTTCGTTCCATAAATATTGCGCCCATTTCATTGCGCGATATTTCCAACACAAATTGGGCTTTAACTTCCCTTTTTGCCCTCGATATAGAGAGTGCCAAGTGTGGAGCTGGAGCCGCATATGCGGCTTTGGCAAGCGCGTCAGCTGCTTCGTTTCCCAGAATACCTGCGTGGCCCGGGCACCATCGGATGGCCACTTCCCCAGGCGTTGTGTTTTGGCCGCGTGACCTTCTTTTCCAGTTTGGTGCAAGCTTGCGAAAGAGAAAAATTTTCGCTGAGCTAGACGCTGTGGGAACATCAGAGAGAAGACGGAGGGCGGCCCCCTGGCTGTCAAGGCAAACGGTGACGTTAGAGGCATAGTAGGCCAGTGGGTTGCGAAGAGCTGCGGCAAGACCTTCAGTGGCCCCGGCAATTTCAGCATCATAGACTTCTGCCGAGTTTCCTAGAGGGAGTGATCCTCGCCCAATTTACTGCTTAAGAACTCGATAGATGAAGTACCCTGCACCTGCTCGGTCTTTTATAAGTGCTCCATCTGAGAATACGAACAAGTCTAGGATGGGTCGTGTACCCTGCCATTGTGTGAAGGGATCTGACCCCGAGAGTCTACCTACTGCTCCAATTTCTGTTATCTTTTCTTCACGGGATGACGATCACGGTGGGGGGATGGTGTCCTCAGAAAGTTCTGGCGAGATTCTTTGGCGGATCCAGCGCATGCGATAAGTGTTCCTGTTGGAAGAAAAAGGATCACTGAAGGCAAAGCGGAGAAGAGTGAATCGATTATTTGTTTATATATAAAAAGGTATCAATCAAGTCCATAAAAAACGTCGTAAGAATATCATTAAGTAAATCGGTGAGTAGTTGTAAACTGTCATTTACGCTGTGTTCTCTTATCATAGAATACAGGGCTTGTTCCTCACTGTCCATGAGAGCAAAGTGTAAAGCTGAACAGTTGGAACTCTAAATATGTAGCTAGTATCTTATTTGTAGATTCTAGGAGTCCTCAATAGTCTTTGACTCAGTTAGGACTATAATACAAATCTAATCTAATCTAATCTTGTCATAGAAGTAGAGTCACACTAGTACCTGTTCATGCAAATCTTACAGGGGAGGCGGGACTAGAATGTAAATAGTGGATGTAGGGATTGCGTTGGGAACCCTTACGTAATGAAGGTAATCGTTACTAATAGGATTATACTTCATTTTCCAACAGTTCCATCGCCTATGAAGAGGGTGGAGGGGATCAACTGCAGCAACTCGAACCGCTAGACGACTGTGAATTCTGTTAAGCCACGTCTGAGCTGTGCCCCAGCCAGCTTCCCATAGAAGTGCTGCTATTGGCGTGGTGCGATATACTAGG